TCACGATACGATCACGAGTAAAACTGCGGGGCACAGTTTGTTAAATACATTTTTATTTACATATATATACATATCTGTCACGCCTGTCTCCCATTAGGGCAGGCAGAAACAATGGAACGCCAAATGCTCCGATTCAAACAAATCTCTTTCGCTTCTTCCACATTCATCGATCGTTTTATACACATTTTTATTTATTTAATCTATAAATAAATTTCTCGTAAATACAACGCATGATGTGCGGAACACTGAACCGTCCGTTCGACTCGACCGTTTTCGCTTTACTTTTTTCGCGAGTCTGTTGGCACAGGAAATTGGAGACGCTGGCAAGAAATCTTTGATCTTCGCCTGAAAACGGTTATAATGCCAAGTTCTGATGTTAATATGACAGTGAAAGCATCAAATGTATATATCTAACTTAATGAATCAATGCTTGGGAAACACGTATGAAATACTGTGTGCTCTTTTAACTTTTTTCACATTGAATTTGTGAGTAAATAAAAATTCTTTCATTTGGGAAATATTTCTGCGTGTTCTTTGAAATAGAAATTAAATTATAAGGAACATATTTGTTATATACTAGCGGCCCGTACCGGCGTCGCGCAGGTGGACATTTTTACATTTAAAACAGTGGTCGTTAAGGCTGCACACGCGACGGAAATTTAAAAATGGAGTAACTTCTCCCGTTTTCCCAACATTTCCCTTCACTGCTCTGCTCCTATTGATCGTAGCGTGATGAAAAGTATACTATAACCTGCCCAGGAGTATGAAGATTAATTGTACCAAGTTTCGTTAAAATCCGTCGAGTAGTGTTTGTTTCTATAACGAACAAACAGACAGACAGACAAACAAAAATTTTACTGATTGCATTTTTGGCATCAGTATCGATCACTAATCACCCCCTGATAGTTATTTTGGAAATATATTTCATGTACAGAATTGATCTCTCTACAGATTTATTATAAGTATATATGTACAGACGAGATGTATTGATAATATTTGTCAAACTGAACAAGACGTTTCAAATTTCAATGGTAGAAATTATCAAAAAAAAACCAATTCTCTTCGTCTTTGAAATAAGTATGCACACATATATGTATGTATATATATTTTAATATAATAACTGCCGGTTTAATTTACATGTAATTGGTTATAAACGACTGTGATACAAGCGTGAGCGTCACAGCCACAGACGAAGTTACGAGATTAACAAACAAACAATGTAACCGAATTCAGAACCTCTTTTTTACGAAGTCGGTTAACAAATACAGAGGGAGACTTTGTACACAAGTCGATTGCTTGGGTATCTCTGTCCCATTCGTGTTTCAACCATGAAGCAGTTGTGTTTGCATGGCTGTGTTTCGGTTTGAAGGGTGGGATATGGTGTGAATTTACTGTATACAGAGGAATAACACCTGAGTCCTCAGGAATGGCAACGCATGGGGGATATCAGGGGCGAAACAGTATACTCTGTTATGTACACGGTACTGCTCATGTCTATAGGCGACGGTTACCACTTTGCATCAGGTGGGCCGTCAGCTTGTTTGCCATTCTAAGTTGTATATAAAAAAACACCTTTATAAAGTTTGACTTTAAACAATATTAGTAGGTTATTTCGAATCCAAGTTTCTGCATTTCTAGTCTATAGATGTCGGAATATATTGTGGCGAAGGAGTAGCTGCTCGTACTTCTATAGAACTTTGCGAAATGTTACTCACGAGATAACGAGATGGCAATTCTGTGGAAGAATTACTATGAAAGTTTCCATCTGAATCGATTTAATCTTTAATCGTGTAGACGGAGTCTTCGGAAGATCGCGCTTTCATCTTTTATAAGACATTTAATCAAGGCAGCTAAAAGTAACTTTATGAATGACTAGCGGCCCGCCCCGGCTTCGCACGGGTGGAAATTTTTACATTTTAAACAGTGGTCATTAAAGCTGCACACGCGACATTACAATTTTACATACAATCATGCGTGCATCAAGATAAAATATACACTGATTATTTGGTAACAAATACCCCATTCAATTCCGCTACCATTAGTACGTGTGCGACTGCCAACAATCGAAGATTGACACACACATACTAATGGTAGAGGAATTGAATAGGGTAATTCTAAACAAATAACCAGTGATATGGAATTCCGTAAGATAACTCCCTGTTCGAATAAAACCTATCTACACCTGGTGGTCTACCATGAAATGAAATTCCGAAATTTCGCGCTCAATTTCGTGTTTTTGTTCGTATCAAAATCGACCCAGTAAATGGAGCTTAACATTTCGTTCATCATAAATCCTATCCTAATAGTCCAGAGGAACGATATTTTAACACTTTTAATAATTTTAAACAGCATATATTATATAAATTCAACATCAAATTTCTGTTTCGTTCGTCCCCGAAATTTCGGAAAATACTTCATGGTAGGCCCTCTGATTTTAAGATAGACATTCAAGAGTAAAACTGTTATAACCGCGTCTAATTTGTTGCTGTAGTTTCAACATGACCTCAAGACATACACATACAGATGGAAGCAAATTCTAAGAATTATTGTTTTGACGTCTAATGTTGATAAATTAAGACTCCACATATATTTTATTTTCTCAGTCTATGTATGGACACCATCTTGATACAACTTTGTTCTAACTATAAGTAAAATCAAATTTTAATTTGTTACTTAACTGGCTAAAATATTTTTAACGTAACTCCTATATTTTTATACCGCCCTAGTACAATTTGGAATTTTGTATAAAACGAAAACAGCAACAAAATTTCAAATTTAGTTGTAAAATTAATTATATTTCATACTTAACGCCACTCTGCTGTAATCCGCTTTCATTTAGTATGCACCAGCATAGAGAGATGCTAATGTAACTTGTCATGCATTAGTGCACAGTGCAGTAATATGCATTAAATATACGTGCTACATATGGTAAAGTAGTGACGCTAGAGGGCGGAACGCATTTGGTGGAACTTTTTACAGTTGTCTCAAATTACTTTGTAGGGGCGATCGGTTTGACCCATATTTATGTAGTTCTGGGTCGGAATAGTTCTATGAAGAGACAGTGACCTCGATTGGAACTACGTATGTGCGAATATAGCTCCAAAACTGACGCATCTACCTAATTGTGTTCTTATATCCGACCGATCCACGAGATCGAGTTCGCTTTGAAAGCTTGGTGGATACTAGACATGAGTAAGGTATCGATCCGATATCTACATATCGGGTTTCTCTGGATGTTGATTATGGAAAAAAGGTCACCACTGATTCCGATATCGCATCCGATATTTTTTTATACGATTTAGAATGGCAAACATGCTGACGGCCCACCTGATGAAAAGTGGTAACCGTCGCCTAGAGACATGAGCAGTACCATGGACGTAACAGAGTATAACTGTTTATAGTGTACCGATATCGGTCGGATGTCTATTTTCAAATATGATAAAAACTTTTAACTTATTCGTTATAGGACCAATGCATAGATATTGTTTCTAAAATACATAGATATTTGTTTTTTATTTTCTCTTCTACCCAAAGGTTGTCTGGAAGAGAATGCTTTAGCGATAACGCCTCCTTTTGTACTTCATAAATGTAATATATATTTGTATTAAAATGATGCAACAAAATAGTTCTTTTAAGCAGTGGAACCGCTCCACGTTGAATCCATTTCCTGACACGATTTGCGCATCTCTGTACCAGACAAAGGCTATTGTCACTTTATAGCGACATTTTTCTTTCAATTTTAACCAATGCACTATTTGTATTCGAATTCTCTGCGAATACAAATGCGGCATCACTTGTTGAAAGTTTATAGTATCGCATCGTAAAATGCACACATCTCGGGAATAGTCAACTTTCGTGATTTACTGTTTTTTGTTTCACAAACAAAGGAATGCTTTCCAATATATTTTTTTAATTACAATAGATAGATAGATAATTTATTTGCATCACTTACAGCACACAAACAGCAAAAGACACAAATGCAATGTGAAAAAAGATAAAAAAAACATATACAAAAAATAAAAAAAAAAAACAAAATCAGAATGCATAAAATTAGTAACAATTTTTTTTTTCTTCATACGTGTACCACAATAATACAAAATGGCCACAACTCAGCTTTTTGCTTTGCCTTAAAATATTTGATATAGTGTTTGATTAGGAGGTTCATTTTAATTTTAGGAATTAGAGTATTTTTCCCAGTTAAGGTGAATATTCATATTATCATTTCTATTGCTGTGTGATCCCGGCATAGAATGGGTCACCTCTTGCTTTCTGGGAGGGAAAGAATCACATTGCTAGCAATATATCCAATCAGATCGACTCGGTCCCCCCTGAAAACTATCATGGTTAATTCCTGATAAATTCATCATGATGAGCTAACTGGCCTGTTTTCATTCTAATCGATCACCCTTCACTGGTGCTCCGCCAGCGTATACCGTTAACGCAGGCGGATTGTCATTCCATTATCACCATTATAAAAAAACCCTTGTTTTTCCATGGATGTCGATAGAAGCGTCTAACTTAATAATCAAAGGATGGGCAACAGTGCCCTAAAACAATACCTAAGGCCTAACTGCGATTGCCAATCCACCTGCATTAGTATAGCAACTATTGGAATTTGTGGGCAGTGGACAGCTAATGGGCTGATATAATTATTATCATTTCGTGATCATCATTACTAGTCTGAAATTAACTGTATGTCGAACTAATTAATCCGACTATCAAAAAAGGAAACTCTACAAGAATTAGAATATTTAATACTTTCAAAGAGTATGTATGTATCTTCTTGTTGACAGTAACAATCGTGGAACATAACCGAAAAGATGTGCTAATAAAAAATTGTTAATAAATCATTTTTGACTATTTTCCAAATGATCTTTATATATTACTTAAATTTTTTGAGATACTGTACAGTGACTGGGCCCGTTTGAAGCTGTATCTTTAAATTGTATACATGTTAATTATTATTACTTAATTAAAACCATACATTTTGCTATTTGCAGTATCGCAACAAGCTGAACGAGCAACAAAACGGCAGGCTGTCGGCGCAACGGGCGGCGCTGGGGGCGCGGCAGGAGGAGATGCGCAGTATAGACCGCCGGGTCTCCGAGCTCCAAGCACGACTGCTGAGGAAGAGGGCCCTCAATCGACAGCTAACAGCCGCGCACCGCCACCCACAGCAGCAGCCACAAAGGTGATTTTTAATGTAACTTAAAATTGTAACTGAATTGTATGAATTTGAACTCTGAGGAATTGTTTAAAATGATGTTTACCACCTTTTATCATCGCACCACTCGCCATCAACAGGGAATTCATGTTTCCATGCTTAAACATACAGTACAGAGAAATTTTCTCCCACGAACGCTTAGGCTGTGGAGTAAGCTCTCTGACGAGGTTTCCCTAGAAACTACATATGTTTTTTTTATATAATGACTTTAGTCTGTGATATTGCGAGTGTTCATAGACTAGGAACAGATACGAGTATATACTTTTGTGCCACCATTGCGATCTCAAAATTTATATTAAAAATATATGAAAGAAAGAAGAAGAAGAAAGAAAGAAATATTTTTATTCAAACAAAATTAAATTTAAACATTTTTTAAATAGACATTTTTTCATTACCGCCCATTCGGAACGCAATTTTAGCCAAAAAACGAGTAAGAAACTCAGCTGTTGCTTTTTTCAAAAAATTTAACAATATAAATAATGAACTACTAAGTAGCATCATATCGTAAAATTTAAAATATATAGTATGCAATTAAAACAAATTACTAAAATAAACCGGTTGCAATGACCAAAGCAGACCAGTTCCTACATGCAGCACCCGTTCACGAGTATAACGAGTGAACCAGTCATCATTGCGCTCAATCATATTTTAGGGAACCTGACCCACCACACCACCACCAGTCTGTACATTTTAGTGAGCATGACTTACTCAAGGCCCCCAACCACGTCATAGTCAAATATCAATAATTCCATACTACATAACACTTACATGGGGGGTATCATGGGCGAAACAGGCTAGTCAAGAACATTTAACAGATGGAGACTTTGTACAAAAGTCGATTGCTTGGGTACCTCTGTCCCATTCGTGTTTCTACCGTGAAGCAGTTGTGTTTGCATGGCTGTGTTTCGGTTTGAAGGGGGGGATATGGCGTGAATTTACAGGGTACAGAGGAATAACACCTGAGTCCTCAGGAAGGCCAACGCATAGGGGGTATCATGGGTGAAACAGTATACTCTGTTATGTCCATGGTACTGTTCATGTCTATAGGCGACGGTTACCACTTTCCATCAGGTGGGCCGTCAGCTTGTTTGCCATTCTAAGTTGTATAAAAAAAAACTTTACAATTGCTACATAATCTTAATTTACTCATTTTGATATAATGATAATAACAAAAAGAAATATATTGCCAGTAAATGAAGGAAAATAACTATATTTTAATAAAAGTGCCACTCGTTTCTGGTTCACACGCATCTAGCCAATTTATCTTCATATAACAATTCTCGTGTCTAACTTCTGAAAGTAATGTCGAATATCAAAAACTTATTCTATGGCGAAATATCTGACGACAATATATTTGATAAAGAAAGATACGCGCGATATGGTGAAGACATAAATCATCATCAGCTAATTGACAACTTCATCCAATTTGCTTCGAGACGATGGGCCGTTATTTTTTTTTTTTCTCAAGATAATCTAAATTCGTTTTCAGATTAAAGATTATAGAATTGGCTTCTACAGATTATTTTTTTTTTTTCTTGCAACTTCTGAATATTGGAAAAATATTCAAATTAGAGTCTTAGCTCTGAGAGGTTTGTTCCTAAATGTTGAAGAAAAATTATGTAATGGAATTTACGTTAGTGACCAAAAATGGCGCTTCGAAACTTTCATAATTAGAACGTGTTTAATAGATAGCTAGACGCTTATGCCGTGTGGTCCCGGCATAGAATGAGCCACCCTTCCTTTCAGTGACAGAACTGTGTAATAGATAGATAGATAGATACTCTTTATTGTTTCCTCCATAAGATTAATGTTTATTTATTTTACCTCATAACTTTTTTAGTAGAATGAAACACTTAAAATGATACCATAGATATATCGAAGTTGTAAAGAACTGGTGTCTGAACAGGGTATCTGAAAAACCCGTATCACAAGTCACCAGAACCCCTCCGTGGCATTGTTTCATGCTATTAAAATAATAAACTTATTATAAATACAAACAATTAAAAAAAATATTATACTAAGACAACAATGGGCGGCGTCACCTTATCGCTAAGAGCGATCTCTTCCAGGCAACCAGGAGAAGAGTAATTTTTTTATACAAGTTAGAATGGCAAACAAACTGACGGCCCACCTGATGTAAATTGGTAACCGTCGCCTATAGACATGAGCAGTACCATGAACATAACAGAGTATATTGTTTCGCCTATGACACCCCCCATGCGTTGCCATTCCTGAGGACTCCGGTGTTATTATTCCTCTGTACCCAGTAAATTCACGCCATATCCCACCCTTTAAACAGAAACACAGCCATGCAAACACAACTGCTTCATGGTTGAAATACGAATGGGACAGAGGTACTCAAAGTCTCCCTCTGGTAAATATAAACAGTTTGTCTGGAGGCACGAAATTCTGTTCGTGTTTTAATAGTTAGGTTTGTAGTAGGTTTTAATTTTTATGAATGATACTAATAATAAATCTTTAAAATTCCAGAACGAACAACCCAACGCCTATGCAGCAACTGTCGAACTATACAGGCAACGCTAATAGTCAACCAAAGAACCAGCAGCCGAGAGGGAACGTTGCCGCCGTCGAGCCTTATAACCATGTGCCTCATGCTCAGAGCGTCAGCCATAGTAATTTCCAGGTGAGACAGTTTTTTGAGAAAGAATTGTTAAAATAAAATCTAGTAGACTCTTATTGATTAACCACAAAAAATAAGGATGTTGTAATTTTTTTTTATGTTATTATCTCAGAACTCCATCATTTATTATAAATTATTATTATATTTAACTCAAAAAAACATAAAATTTTTATATATATATATAACCTTTATGTGGTTTCCGTAATAAATTATTATTCATTATATATTATTAATGCTCTCTTTTTGATCTCATTTTTAAAACATAAAAAAATAATAATGAACATAAGCGGCTTGCGTTCATACATAAGATGCATAAAAAGCAAATTGACGATTACGAGACAAAACGACATAGGAAGACTTTACATTTTTATAATATTCATATTGTTCCAGGCAATGAAGCAGAATGTAATACAAAACAACGTGCCATTAAAACAACTTACACAATGTGATAATATGCAAACCCACATGACGCAACAAGAAGCCCATTACTTGCAGCAGAAACAGATGATGAACCCACTCTATAATGGATACCCTCACATGCAACCAGGAGATAACCAATTTCAAGGACAGTACCCGAAACACGAGAACATAAATCACGTGCAACAGGGTATCACCAATGCTTACGATCAGAAAGGCATGTTCGAACATTTAAATAAATATCCAGATTACCCAAAACAACCACAATACAGTCCAAATAGTACAAGCAGTTCGAACAGCAATCAAACTGGTAAAGAGCTAAAGATCAACGAACAAGAATTTCTGCCAGAGTTTGCTGCAAGTAAATCGGATCCAAAATATCAAACGTTGCCATATAACACCAAATTTCCACAAAGTACAAACGGCAAAATGAAGCCTGACCCCAACAATAAGAACAACGAAGACAAGAATGCAGCGAATATAAACGTTAATCATATGACTGTACATTCAACACCACTGACGGTGGTGAACAAAAGTCTTGCGACGCCTCTAAGTCAAACAGAAACCACATATCCACAGGAACATACATATCAGTTGCAAAAATCTGATTCCTCCAGTAGATGTAACCAGGAGGGGAAAGAGAATCATGCATATCCACAGAATTCTAGGCTAAGTCAAAATAATAGTCAGAGCAACGAAGGCTCGAAGAGTAGCGCGGGGAAGAGTCAACAGGGTAACGCTATAAAGGGAAGTTCTCCGAGTTTGGGATCTAATACGACAACGACTAGCAGTTCTATAGGTTTTGGGGTAAGTTCATTTTGCTTTAAAATCAAATTTAAGAAATTACCATTATTCCACATTACCATATATTATTTTAGTAGATCACTTCAGCTTGTATCATACCCATTGCTGTTTGCACATCATCTGTAAATATCATCAATCATTCATTCATTACAGAAACCTGTATCAAGTGTAGCACCCACAGCAGTTCAGGTCTCGAGTGGGAAACCATCACCTATTTATCAGACATCATCCACTAAGATCCAACCGGTCCAGCCACAGACCGTTCAGACCCAAAGCATCACCGCACCATCATCAAATCATGTAGCTAGTAATGTGGTGACTTCCCAACCCCAGATCGTTAGAAACACGGCGTCAGGATTGTCAACTAGCACGGGGAGTAACTTCAGTGGTCAAAACACGTCATCGCAGAGCATGTTATTATCTCCGCCACAAAGTGCCAGCACACCATTGTCTACTCCTGACGTGAGCGGTACTGACAAATCGCCCAAGCCAGCACTACCTCCAAAACCTGCCATAAAGGTACTTTTATTATAATAAACTCTATCAGAGTTAAGCTCGCCTTTGTACTTTTGTTTACCTCTCTAATATTTTTTTAACTAATGTGTACAATAAAGTATTAAAATAAAAATAAATAATAACATGATTTTGTAAATCGTTATTTGTATTTTAAACAGAGAGAGAGAAATAGTTATGTCACTACTTATTTCATAAAAGTACTTTGTTTTCTTAGTCGTTTGCTTATATATGATTTATGAATTTTAGAGAGACTTTGTATAAAAGTCGTCTGCTTGGGTATTTCTGTCCTATTTGTGTTTCTGCCGTGAAACAGTTGTTTGCATGGCTGTGTTTCGGTTTGAAGGGTAGAATTGAAATTATAGGGTACAGAGGCATACATAATACATATTATTCAGAAATGGCAACGCATGAAAGGTATTATGGGTGACACAATATACTTCATTGTGTCTATGGTACTATTCATGTCTGTAACGTAACAGTTACCGTTTTCTATCAAGTGGGCCATCAGTTTGTTTGCTATTCACATTTAAGCAACTAGCCTTTAAGCTAATACCATCATTATGAAAGTACATCTTTAAAAAAAGATTATTTTACAGTGAATATTAATTCGTAATCTATTATTGTTTGCAAGAAGTAAATACCAATTTCATTATATTTTAGACTCCACCGCGACAGTCAGCAAATAACGATGCCGGTTTCAACCAAAACTCGGAGACCACACCAATGCCCACCATACCTTTACAAGAATCAAACGATAGCGAATCACAACAGAATCAGAAGGAATCTAATGGCAATAGCGGTAATGACATGATCATAAAGGCGCGTCCACTAACCATTAGGAAACCCCCATTAAATGAACAGCAACCTAAACTTCGGAACATGAATTCAGCTAAGAATGGTATCAGTGTTAGTATCAACCGTCGCATTGAGATGCCACCGGCTTTCTTGTTCCCCGAAATGGATCATCTAACTTTGGATTCCGTACCAAGTGAAATGCAGAACGGCCTAAAAGATAAAACGAAGCAGAAAGATGAAGTTGATAGGGCACTAACTACTAACATATCGTCTAATAGTGACAAACAAGAGGAGAGTAAAGATAATGTGGCAGATATAGCCGAACAAATTAGTTCGGTCGATTTGAACGGTCAGGATTCTCAGGGCTCTGAGAATGTACTGAGGCGATCAAAGAAAGGCAACTTGAAGCAAGGAGGAAAGGCACCTTTGACGAGGAGAGTGAGTTTTGATCCGCTCGCATTACTATTGGATGCCAGTTTAGAAGGAGAATTGGAACTCGTCAAGAAAACTGCAACACAGGTATATTTTACAAAGTATAAGTAGATATATTTTAAAACAAAAAACAGATCTCAAATCTAAATTAAAGCATTTTTATATGCAAAAATGCATGCTGAAATGGACTATAGAATGTTTCGAAGAATGGATTCGTTGAAGTAAAAAATGGCACTTTAAATGGTATTTCATAGAAAGTCATTAAATTATTCATATTTCTAAATAGATACAAAATAATATTATGTGTGTTTTACATTAAATTGTTGTATATTTTGTTTTCAGGTTCAAAATGCGAGTGCGGCAAATGACGAAGGCATCACCGCTCTACACAATGCTATCTGTGCCGGGCACTTCGAAATTGTCAAGTGAGTTTAAAATCATATTACCTCTTCCATTGTACTCGTTTCCTAGAATATTTGCTAACTAGAAACATTACGTACCAAAAAACGCATCAATGCTTCTTGTATTCTTCTCTCCTAGTACTATATAGAATTTATAAAACCTGAAAGTGAAATAATTATAGTTTGTGTTTTCGTATAATTTTCTAAGTAGTTCTGTTCTCCTAGTACTTATTACAACTAAAATAATATTTACCAAATCAATATTTATAGGTAGGTAAAAAAGGTTTTATTATGTTTAAATTAACTCCTGGATGGTTCTATAAAACCTGAAAGTGAAATTTGTGTTTTCGTATAATTTTCTGAGTAGTTCTGTTCTCCTAGTACTTATTACGACAACTAAAATAATATTTACCAAATCAATATTTATAGGTAGGTAAAATAGCTTTATTATGTTTAAATTAACTCCTGGATGGTTCTGCTCTCCTAGAATTTGCATAGCAATTAATTATTAATTCATACATTCTACATTCACCAGAAAACATCGAGACAGCGTTGAAATCCACATATCTTTTGTACAAAACCTTACTGGTTCGATCCAAGTTTAATCCTCAACATGGTGATCTAGCATGCTTCTAAAATTTCTGTACATTTATTTTTATAAGTTGCTATCTATTCTGGTGCTTAGTCAAGCCTAAAGCTATGACCAAACAGGGAAACTCTTATCACAACTTCTCCAGCCACAAGAAGTTGTTGGTAAATATTTATGATCATACTCTAACCAATACGTTCCATCGTTTTTCAGATTCCTTGTGGAACTTGGCTGCGATGTGAACGCCCAGGACTCAGACGGCTGGACTCCACTGCATTGTGCTGCCTCCTGCAACAATCTGCCGATGGTGCGCTTCCTCGTTGATAATGGTGCGTACATATTAATTCTCTTTTTATTTTATTCAAGAAAGGACATGTAGAAACCTACGAGTACTTTTTGAACACGTTATATTAAAGGATATTTATTAACTTTGCTAATTTGAATAGTTTTTGACTATTCTTTGGTTATTCCGCCTGCGAAAACTCAGGTTGTGAAATAATCTTCATGTCAAGGCTTTCTCTGGAGACTACATCATGGGATTCTCCAAAAAGGGCGTATTAAGGCTTCTTAAGGGTCGACAATGTGCCCATGACATCTATATGCTACGGTAACTTCGTTTACCATCAAACGGGCCATATGGTTATTTGCCATCTTAGTTGTATAAAAAATCTCTTTTTTTTTATCGAAATTGACTCCCGCGTGGCGTCTACCCTAATTCGTACATTGAAGTATTTTTTTTACAAAATCCTAACTTGTTGAATAATTACTGTTGTCAGTCATACTGTATTTTTATTATTTATGTTGTTTTTTATTCACGATTTAAATTCGGGGATGCCTGACTAGTTTCAAACTCAATAGGAGCCCTTATTCATGAGCGCGATTCAATAATTGCTAGTTAATGCTAGTTTTGTTAGATTGATAAGTACACAAAGAGAGAGCTTATACCTTTTATGATTTGAATATTTGTTAAGCAGCTATGTTTCAGTTTGATGAGATTTAGCATGGAGGTATGAGGAGGAATAATATGAGAATCAAAATGTACAATTATTCTGTAAAGTCTAGAGGCGAAAGTTTTCATTTTAGATGCCGAATTGTTTTATTTATCATTTCAATTTGTTTTAAAACAAACATTTATAACGCCAGGCGCGTGTATATTCGCAACCACGCTGTCTGACCAAGAGACCGCGGCCGAGAAGTGCGAAGAGGACGAGGAAGGTTTTGACGGCTGTTCAGAATATCTTTACAGTAAGTATACAGTTGGCCAATGTGGTCCCGGCATAGAATACGCCTCCCCATTCTTTAATGTGGGTGTCGTAAGAGATGACTAAAGGAGCTTAATGGTAAAGGGATTGGAAACAGCGTCTCTCTTAAAACATTTCTAAAAGCCTAACTGCAGTTGCTTACCCATCTGCCAAGTGTATCGACTACTGACAAAATACCCCTTTATGGGGCTAAAGATTTCCTTGTGGTATCTAATTGAAAAATACAAAATTGATTCGTCCAATTCAGTTCCAGTCACGATCAATCTTGAGGTGATTCTACTTATGGTAAGTCAAGATGGAAATGAGAATAAACAGTTACCGGTATAATGGTGGCCTAAAATAACACGACCTAGTAGGTTTACATTTAAAGATATTTCTTTAAACTTTGTTCCTTTTTTTTTTGACACTTTAATTTGTAACTGCGATTAAAAAATATAGAATTTTAAAATAAATCACACCAATAGACTAGTTCGCAAGCTTTTTTTCTTTAATGGGTGATAATGTAATGGTAACCTCACCTGCACCATTAGTATACACTGGCGGGGCACCAGTGACAGATGATATGTGAGGAATATTGTTCATAAAGATAAATAAAGAAATATAATTATGTAATTTTAACATACAGCCCACACACCAATCCATTCAGATATACCATGTAAGTATGGCACTTAGCACACAAATACACTACATTCCGTCACCTAATGTTTTATAAGTATTATTAAAAAGGGATGATCTAATAAGAAGACGAAGAAAGATTGTAAAAAATATAAATTATATGTATTTGATATTTTTGTGCATTACAGGTTTTTGTATTTTATGCACGAAAAATTATTAATTCACTCTTGCGCCACCTGCCCACTTCTATCTGTTCTCCTTTAACCAAAGGTTGTCTGTAAGAGATTGCCCTAGCGACAAGACCGCCTTTTGTACCTTTATGGGTATATTTCAATCTGTATTTATGTTACTGCATTTCACTTGAATTGTTCAATTGTCATTGTATATTTTTGTTTATGGTGCAATAGAGTTAAATAAATAAATAAATAAGAAGACGTGTTCTAAGACAGATCAGCAAAACCATTTTTGAACCTTAAGCGCTACAACACAATGTTAAATGTCGTTTGCAGGTGTGAAAGAGAAGCTAGGTATAATGAACAATGGCCTAGTGTACGCGGTGTTCTCGTACACGGCGGCGCGCAGCGACGAGCTGTCGTTCTCGAGCGGCGCCGCGCTGCACGTGCTGCGCAAGGGCGACGACAGCGAGCGCGAGTGGTGGTGGTGCCGCCTGGGCACGCGCCAGGGCTACGTGCCGCGCAACCTGCTCGGGGTGAGCTCTGTACTATAGTGGCGGCTGTATATGTATGGTAGGGGAGCGCGAGTGGTGGTGGTGCCGCCTGGGCACGCGCCAGGGCTACGTGCCGCGCAACCTGCTCGGGGTGAGCTCTGTACTATAGTGGCGGCTGTATATGTATGGTAGGGGAGCGCGAGTGGTGGTGGTGCCGCCTGGGCACGCGCCAGGGCTACGTGCCGCGCAACCTGCTCGGGGTGAGCTCTGTACTATAGTGGCGGCTGTATATGTATGGTAGGGGAGCGCGAGTGGTGGTGGTGCCGCCTGGGCACGCGCCAGGGCTACGTGCCGCGCAACCTGCTCGGGGTGAGCTCTGTACTATAGTGGCGGCTGTATATGTATGGTAGGGGAGCGCGAGTGGTGGTGGTGCCGCCTGGGCACGCGCCAGGGCTACGTGCCGCGCAACCTGCTCGGGGTGAGCTCTGTACTATAGTGGCGGCTGTATATGTATGGTAGGGGAGCGCGAGTGGTGGTGGTGCCGCCTGGGCACGCGCCAGGGCTACGTGCCGCGCAACCTGCTCGGGGTGAGCTCTGTACTATAGTGGCGGCTGTATATGTATGGTAGGGGAGCGCGAGTGGTGGTGGTGCCGCCTGGGCACGCGCCAGGGCTACGTGCCGCGCAACCTGCTCGGGGTGAGCTCTGTACTATAGTGGCGGCTGTATATGTATGGTAGGGGAGCGCGAGTGGTGGTGGTGCCGCCTGGGCACGCGCCAGGGCTACGTGCCGCGCAACCTGCTCGGGGTGAGCTCTGTACTATAGTGGCGGCTGTATATGTATGGTAGGGGAGCGCGAGTGGTGGTGGTGCCGCCTGGGCACGCGCCAGGGCTACGTGCCGCGCAACCTGCTCGGGGTGAGCTCTGTACTATAGTGGTGAGGTTCATGAGGGAATCTGTACTGTACTAGGGGTATATGAGGGGAACCTCCACCATATTGGGAGTATATGAGGAGAACGGTAGCGAGTAATTCGTGGTGGTTAGTGAGGGTGCGCTACTATAGAAGAGCTATACTGGGGGTGCATGTGGGGAACCTCTATTATACTGAAGGTACCTGAGGGGAACCTCTACTATACTGGGGGTACATGAGGGGAACCTCTACTATATAAGGGGAATATGACGGATTGATAGCGAGTAATTCGTGATGGCAAGTGAGAGCATGTTATGGTTACATGGCGCACTAGATTCTCGGGGCGAAGGCACACATACACATGAGATACAACTAGGGTTCAGGATGTACCAGGTTTATTACTGAACAAAATAAATTCTCTTGTCAACTATTATTTTCTTATTAGCAAACCCTTGTATTTTAAAAAGAATGTGATTAAAAGTCGTCTTATTTCATAATGTCCGAAATTTTAGAAAAATGTCTATTTAAAATATATAATTTTCTAATTTCCTTTTCAGTTATATCCAAGAGTGACCGACAAGCAGGAATAAAAGGAGACAGGAACGAGGGGAAATGAAGCTTAGCTTAGCATCTGACCTGATTATAAACTGTACATAATGTTCTTATTATTTTTTATGTATTTATATAGCTAACCTAAAACACACACATATATATATATATATAAATATTGTATACAATTTTAATGAAATTTAAATATTTTGTAAATATATAAAAAGAAAATATGTGCAAAACGAATGAGATTATATTGTAAATTTTATAAATATGTGAGTCATAAAATATTGGTCATGAAATTTGTATATTGTTCTTAGTGCGCCTGCAGACATTGCGAGTTATTACACACATAAAGTGACAATACGAAATTAAATAAATGACAACTATGTGATGCTCTTTCCTTTCAACTTCCTATACCTCAATAACAACTTGAAATGCCAGGGGGGAAACGGATTGTTAGCAATGGAGTTTGACAGCCCCATTGCTAACTTATTAGGTCGACCTCCACGTGCTTCCCCCTGGAAACCATCGTGATCAATTCTTGTAGAATTCGTCACGATGGGCTAACTGACCTACTTCATCCTCACCTATCATTCTTCACTGGTGCCCCGCCGGTGTATACTGATAGCGCGGGTGGGTTACCATTCCATTATCATACATTTAAAAAAAAACTTGAAATGCAAAATAATGAATAATGAAACCGATTCCCTAACTAGCACGTAGTCAACGTGTCATGGCCATGCCATGGCAGTTTTCCGAAATCTGGCCTAAAATGACAAATCGATTTAATCAAAATATTAAAAACTTTAGTGCAAAGATGTCATCAAAAAGCATAAAAAAATATTAAAATATTAATTTATTTGTTGAATTTCAATTAATTTATATAATTATATTTTTGATTCGTTATTTAATTAATTTTCTGTTCGTACAGGCCAGATTTTTTGTTCTTTTCCCAGAAGAACCAGAGGAAGTCTTCCTCTGGTATATATATATATATATATATATATATATATATTTAGAAAAACACAAATATATACTTAATATCAAAGAGATAATATACTACATAGACATACCAGAGGGAAACTTTGTACAAAAGTCGATTGCTTGGGTACCTCTGTCCCATTCGTGTTTCAACCGTGAAGCAGCTGTGTTTGCATGGCTGTGTTTCGGTTTGAAGGGTGAGATATGGCGTGAATTTACTGGGTGTGTATGAATTTACTGGGTACCATGGTAGTGCTCATGTCTATAGGCGACGGTTACTACTTTCCATCAGATGGGCCGTCAGCTTGATTGCCATTCTAAGTTGTATATAAAAAAAAAGTGAGCAGCTATATTTCTTTAAAGTTAACAAATAGTTTTTAATTCGTATAATTGCACAAGTAATATTAGCCTTTAAATATTTTTAATTCAATAATAAATAATTGGGACAAGGGTAGGAAGATAATTATGAGATTGATTTAGAGAAGTAGCACTTCAGAATCGACGCTATTGTTATTGCAAAATTGTTCACTAATACATACATACATACATACATATCTGTCACGCCCGTCTCCAATTAGGGTAGGCAGAAACAATGGAACGCCAAATACTTTGATTCAAACAAACCTCTTTCTTTTTTCTTTCTTTTGTTCACTAATATAGTACTTTTAAAGTGATAATTTAGAAACTTTTTATGGAAACGATCAAAGTATTTTTTTTTTGTATGCAGCTTAGAATGGCAATCAAGCTGACGGCCCACCTGATGGAAAGTGGTAACGGTGGCCTATAGACATATTTAATACACGTAATTATGTATATTAAATTAATCTACTTATACTAATATTATAAAGAGGAAAGATTTTTTTGTTTGTAATTGATAAACTCAAAAAATAATCAATTTTAAAAATCTATAGAAAGCTACATTATAAGTAAGATTGAATATATTTTATTTAAAAAAAAATCTAATTTATTTTTCTATCTATCCATGCGAAGACGGGGCGAGTCGCTAGTCAAAATATTGAAAATTATTTTTTTAATTTATAGATATTTCTGTCTTCTGACATACGACTTTGGTATGAATATTACTGAATTATTCTCTTAAGTAGTGTAAAAAAATAAAACATGCCATTTATAATAAAAATGTATTAACTAAATTCACATATCTCCCTCATCAGAGTCCTCAATGTCGGCTAGGGCTTGTTTGGCCACGTTCTCCGCTTCTTTCGCCAGCTCCTTGGGCACCAACTCGTGGCGCCCTCTGGTGGCCTCCGACACCCAGGACAATTCTAGCTCGAATTGTTTGTCTTTTAGTTCGTCATGTACTAGGTAGATGCTGAAAAGAAAGATATTATTTCACTAGTTTTTGCCCGCGATTTCGTCCCGTGTCAATGGGGCATGTTAATTGAACAGCCTATATTAGTATTGTATTGTTTTTGACAACAAATCGGACATTTTATAAAAATATTAACAGATAGCGCACTTTTGGACTTTTACAACAACTGTAGGAATAAATACAATAATCCTTTTACCACATTCCTTATCATCCCCCGAATATTGTATTTTTTAAAAATAGGAACCACAATTATAGATACTACATTTGGATTCTCTGTCTTTGAGTTTTGGTTCTTGCAAAAAGATTATTTATAGATTTCAAAATTTCAAACTATACTCCTCAAACTAAAACAAATGCTTGTTAACCATACACTTAGTGGAATAGTGGTGTCTAATAACAATAAGGCAGGGGGGAGATGGATTATTAGTAGTGAGATCCAACAGACCCATTACATATACCCTAACGGGTCGACCTCCACGCGGTTCCCCCTGGAAACCAACGTGATTATTTTTTTATGAATTCATCACGATGGGCTAACTGAACCGCCTTTTCATCCTCACCAATCATTTCTTACTGGTGCCCCGCCAGCATATCCCGATAGCGAAGGTGGGGTGACCATTCCATTTTCATCCATTAAGAAAAAGACTTTAAAAGGAGACTTTATGCAAGCCTTCCCTCTATTAAAATTTTTAATTCAATATTTGTGTACTTACATCCTAGCTGCCTCTCGCACCAACTCTTTAACAGTCAGATCAGCCAGCTTCAGCTTCTCGATCTCAGTCTTGGCAGCTTGCTTGGCTTTGCCGACGGCGCAGCCAAAGTATGACTGGAATTTTATAAATTAAATATACAACATCTGACATTAAATAGTATAAAATATTTGTTATTAAAGATATTGGAATATAATTTTACCAGAGGGAGACTTTGTACAAAAGTCGATTGCTTGAGTACCTCTGTCCCATTCGTGTTTCTACCATGAAGCAGTTGTGTTTGCATGGCTGTGTTTCGGTTTGAACGGTGGGATATGGCGTGAATTTACAGGGTACAGAAGAATAACACCTGAATCCTCAGGAATGGTAACGCAGGGGGGGTATCATGGACGAAACAGTATGTGTGTGTACTGTTATGTCCATGGTCCACGTATATATTACGGCTCATGTCTATAGGCGACGGTTACCACTTTCCATCAGGTGGGCCGTCAGCTTGTTTGCCATTCTAAGTCGTATAAAAAAAAAAAAAAAAAAAAAACAATTATAAGTTTAATATATATACAGTACAAATTTGTAATTTGCTGCATGGTCTCAGCATAGAATGAGTCAATCTTTCCAATCCCGTGGGTGTCGTAAGAGGCAATTAATGGAACGTAATGGTTGACGGATGTTCATCCATCAACCATTAAGTTCCCTTATAAAACATCACCAAAAACCTAATTGCAGTTGCCAATCTACCTGCCAAGCTGGCAATACTGGCAAAAATCCCCCCTGATGGGGGAGGCCATGTTCAGCAGCGAATAATTAAGGGCCGATGTGATGTTACAAATTTCAGATTTCATATGACTTTAAAATATCACTGCACAATATAAACAATTCTACAGAAGTTGGTAAGCGAGAAGTCTTAATTTAAGATGATTGGAGACAAGGGACAACAGCTATAGAGTTCAAATTTGTCAAACTGTACATTTTGTTTAATCCCTTTCTTGTATTTACTGTGTCTGACTTGCGCCATCTACCTTTCTCTCTGTACTTATCCATTCTTTATGCCAGGTTGTCTGTAAGAGATTGCTCTTAGCGATAAAGCCATCTTTTGTATATGCACATTCTGTATAAATACTCCTTGTATACATCTCTATTGTGCGCAATAAAAAGTTTATTATTATTATTATGCTTCATGAAACTGGCATAGTCACTTAATTAAATTAAAAGCTTAAAAAGCATGAAAAATCAACAAAAACAAAATAGTAAAAAATTTATACAAAACAATTTGTAAATAAATAGTCGACTTTCCTTTATATATTAAAAAAACATGTTTCTGCAGTGAAACAGCTATGCATGCTGGGCTGCACTCCCTATTGACCACCTTTCATTACTGTTTGAAAGGTGAAATTACAAAGTATGAAGATGTAACATCTTTGTCTTTAGGAATGGCAAGATATCAGTGGTATCGCATGTGATGTTATGTCTTCTACGATGTCCATAGTGCATATCTATAGGTGACAGTACCATGAACATAACAGAGTATACTGCAACGTGTTTGAGGTTGTCACTCCATCTAGTGAAGGGTCTTCTTACACTGTGTTTGTCCATATTTTTTTTTATGCAACTTAGAATGGCAAACAAGCTGATGACCCACCTGTAACCGTCGCCTTACGCCCATGATAAATGTGTTGCCATTCCTGAAGACTCAGGTGTTATTCCTCTGTACCCAGTAAATTCACGCCATATCCCACCCTTCAAAACGAAACACAGCCATGCAAACACAACTGTTTCATGGTTGAAACACGAATGGGACAGAGGTTTCCAAGCAATCGACTTTTGTACACTCAAGAACTTTTCTTCCCCATTGGATGTCGATTCTTCGAACTATGTGACTAGTTATTGCTACTTCAGCTTTCTTATTCTTCGGACTTTTGCGGACAATCTTGTTTCAGATTCTATCATGCAAAGAAACTCCAAACATAGCCCTCCCATCCCTTTTAGTTACATAAAAAATATTAAATACTTACAAATGACACCCCACTAGGATCAAGCATGTACATCTGTGGTCCTTCATATTTAGTCCACGTGCCCATGACCACAGAGCAGCCGTACGGTCGGACGGCACTGTATAGAGTATAGGCATGCATGTACATGGAGACCCTCTCGTTTAAGTACTTCAGAGGCACTGGCACTCCGTATTGAGATCTGTAGTTCGACGCTTCTGAACGTGCCGTTTCAACGATCTGTCTCGCGTCCGAGATAAGACCCGCTACAGCCTGGAATGATAATTAAGAAATTGTTTTATAACTTAAACAGATTATAAACCTTCTTGTCATGATTTTATAAATCAAAATGTAATTGTAGCCCTGGGTCCATTTTTATCTAAAAAATATTTTTCTTGACCCTGTACATTTTTTTTATACAACTTAGAATGACCATCTGATGGAAAGTGGTAATCGTCGCCTATAGACATGAGCAGTACCATGGACATAACAGAGTATACTGTTTCGCTCATGATACCCTGCATGCACTGTCATTCCTGAGGACTCAGATGTTATTCCTCTGTACCCTGTAAATTCACACCATATCCTACCCTTCAAACCGAAACACAGCCATGCAAACACAACTGCTTCACGGTAGAAATACGGATAGGACAGAGGTATCCAAGCAATTGATTTATTTATTTAACATTTATTTAACAACAAAAAAGGAACCAAAATATAATACAAAATATTTGCAATATTTTAAAATTACATGTCACAGTTAGAAATATTAAAAATTCAATAAGGACACAAGAGGCACTAGGGGTACCAGCTAAAGATGGTGTTTGCCTATAGTAGAAATAATGTATTTCTCCCACTTGCTTTGCAAATGTAAAGACAATGGTGTGGATAATTTTTAATGCATCTCACTAAAGATATTTTAGTTTTCTTGTTTGAGCCCTTACATTAATGGTAAGTTATAATTTGATAATCTGGTTTTCATCAGACCTTGCACATTGAACATGGTATTAAGCCAGTTGGAGCCTTTTATGTTTTATTTTTTATGCCATATATATTTATATGCCTACAATTGTAACTGAATAAAAATACTTCTGTATTTTTTTTTATACATCTTAGCATGCAAACAAGCTGACAGCCCACCTGATGGAAAGTGGTAACCATCGCCTATAGACATGAGCAGTACCGTGGACATAACAGAGTATACTGTTTCGCTTATGATACCTCCCATGCATTGCCATTCCTGAGGACTCAGGTGTTATTCCTCTGTACCCTGTAAATTCACGCATTCTCCTACCCTTCAAACCGAAATGCAGCCATGCAAACACAACTGTTTCACGGCCGAAACACGAATGGGACAGAGGTACCCAAGCAATCGACTTTTGTACAAAGTCTCCCTCTGGTTGTATAATTTACTAGGACACATATCCTTATTAATCCCATTAATATTAAAAAATGAAAGTTTGTAAGGATGAAAAGATAGATAGATGGATGGATAGTTTGTTACTCTTTCATGAAAAAACTACTGAATGGATTTGAATGACATTTGACTCATGGTTATATCATAACTTACATACATAGGATAGTTTATTTACATACTGATTCTCACAGGCAAAACCACAGTATTACAAATGTGAAAATGAGTTTATTACATACTGTAGTTATTGTAGTATGTAATATGTGATGTATTATATGGGATGGAGAAAAATATAGGCTATTTTTAACTTAGCTAATGAACACATGCTGGTCACAGGAATGAGATTGTGGGTAAAAGCTAGTTGATTGATATGTAAAAATAAATTGGATTCTTTTTCCGCACTTAGGCTCTTTTTTGGACCATTATATGGGATGGAGAAAAATATAGGCTATTTTTTTGCTAATGAACACATTGAGATTGGGTAGTTGATTGATATGTAAAAATAAATTGGATTCTTTTTCTGCACTTAGGCTCTTTTTTGGACCATTATTCGTAGGAGTCGTAGTACAGCCAGCTTAACTCCACCCAGAAACATAGGAGCTTCCTGGGATTTTTGCAGGGCTAATGGAGTGAATGGGATAGATAAAGGAAACACTAGGCGTCATGTCGTATGGGGAGATCAAAGATATGGCCTGGGGCCAGGCTAGAGCTGGCTGGAGGAAGATGCATGAATTAGTTGCACCGACAAGAGGAAACTCTTAAATGAAAAGAATGGAGTGACGTATTAGTTAATCTAGTTGATTAATACATTTAATAATCTATCCCAACTTTAATCATGTTTATATATCTCTTCATTCTAATTAGCAAACTTGACTACTTCTTTACTATAAGTAAAATAAGTAGGCATTATATCTACATTACTTAGTATCTTAGTTAAAAACATATATTTTGAATGTTTCCTTAATATGAATAATACACAAAGCAAGCTACTTAAGTAACATTATTTTTTCTCACACACTCTTGAGATTTTGTTACAAAAAAATCTATAAACAAGAAAAAATTGTATGAGACCGCATGAGCAAACTATATTAATAAAAATTAAAACCAAACAAAAAAGTTACAACCTTGGTTGTTGTGACCATTTAGCTTAATTATTAATTCACTCTTGCGCCACCTGCCCATTTCTATCTGTTCTCCTTTAACTAAAGGTTGTCTGTAAAAGATTGCCCTAGCAATAAGACCGCCTTTTGTACCTTTATGTGTATATTTCAATCTGTATTTATGTTACTGTATTTCACTTGAATTATTCACTTGTCATTGTATATTTTTATTTATGGTGCAATAAAGAGTTAAATAAATAAATATAGACATTAAATCAAAGTCGCTCGTATGTAAAGCACTTTAGTATGAAGTAAATGTAGTTATATCAACTCTGGATGTAATGCCGAGTTTGGGTGTAACAATTGCTTTTAATGTATTATTTGTAACAAATTCTTAGAAATTCCATGCAAACATTGCATCCAGAGTCAACTGCCATAGACACAGAGAGATTTTAGACAGTCAGCAACTGTAGTGACCTTATCCTCTTGTTTATAGAAATATTTTAGCTAGGCAGATAGGTAAGCATGTAAGTTTTGGAATTAAAGTTATGGTTAGTGTGATATTGTGAGTGATACAAAGTGATATTGTGAGTAGCAACTGTGTTTAGTAAATTTTTGAACAAGTATGGCTCCTAGACACCTTTGCCTGTAACAACTTCTGCTACATCCCAACCCAGTTTTGCATTCTCTTATTTCAATTTAAAATTCACATCAATTTCCATCAGGCTTTTTTTTTTAAATAAAGTACTACTACTCATATTACTTGCTGATAAAGTAGCTCTATTTAGGTTAAAGCATTTTTATTTACAGTTAAAAAATATTTGTGTTTATCCATAACTAATAAAAAACTTCCTCTTTATATTGCCTATGTCGTCATAGTCGTAGAATACTGACGGATCTGACAAATATTACATATATAGATTCATTAGTATTCTATGACTATGAAAATATATATGTATAATAGGAATTTCATTAACATATCTGTTTCTGTTTTTGTCATATCTGACATACAACAAACCATGCATTAAGTTTTGTGGTTTTAGCCTATGCCAAATGGAAAAAGTTTATAATAATAATCAGTTAATTACAACTCACCATGCCAACATGTTCATCGACATGAAAAATCCTCTTATTAGCACCAGGCTCATACAATTTTGATGTGACCAGTTTTTCAACGGCAAATACAACTCCATCTTTCCCTCTCAGACCAATAACTGTACCAGAGTTTTCCACCGCCTTTGCTGCGTATTCCACTTGAAATACCCGGCCATCGGGTGAGAATTGTGATGCGGAGAGGTCATACTGAAATGATTTGGTCAGTTTATTTAATACAATGAATAAGCAATATTTATTACTTTACTACGTTTACAAAGACACTATGATAGTATAAATATTATATTTAATTATTGAAATAATATAAACATTAATTTTTAAACCAATAATTATCTTAAAATTTTAGTTTATTGTTACATTAGACACTACTTAACCTATTTATGTTTAATTTTATACTTACACCTGTTCCAATGGAACTCATTCTCTTATATTGTTTTTAATACTTTAACAAAGTATAATTTTTAACACAGTCAAATGTGTCCACTCATTTAACAATTTCAATAATGAAAAAGCGATTTTTTTTTGGAGTCGGCGGCGATGACAAGCAAATATGGATCAGTTCGTTTTCCTTGTCATCGAAAATTTATGCACTGACATTTCATACGTTCCGTTCCAATATCATGTTAAAAAAAACGTAATAGAACTACACAATATACCTAAATGTGAAAGTTAGAGCAGAAAAAATCTTTTATAGTATAAATACATATACAATACTGGATACAATTGAGTACGATTTCTGATTTATCAGAAAATTATATTTTAGACAGTTCTTAAACCCTTATTTGTAACGTTCTATTATTTGACACACCAATCGGATAGTGAATTCGGAATAATAGAAAACATACATGTTGGATTTTAACAAATCATGTCGCGGTCATTCTTTTGACAATTTTTTTTTCTAGATATTATTTTGATCGCGGTTGAATCAAAGATAGAAGTAGACATTGAAGATATATATTTATGGTTGATGGTAAAAATAATATCAAATGTTTTTATCTGTGGTTGATAAGGTTTATCTACGTATGTAAATATTGTACCTAAGTTTTGTATTCAATTGTATTTTGTTACTTATACATTTTAGGTTGATGGCTTTTTAGCCAAAATTTAATAAATAAACAGAAAAATATCTGGTTGAATTCAAATTTTAATGAACAATCAATAGTAACTTATGATTAGACTGAATGGACAATGCTCTTTGTGCACAATTTGGACGAATTTTAAAACAATAAAAATTTTAATTTGAATTCCATTGCTTCAACAAAATATATATATTATATTATATACATAGAGTATCGAGTCTCAAAAATAGGTCAGTTTTTTGTCAGCTAGTTGTCAAATTAGCAAATTTTTTAAACTCGTTTTTTATTAATTTTCTTACTGTGTGCGTAACACAATGTATTTTAACGAATCTATATTTAATTATTTTATAAATAAAATAAGTTTTTACGCATTATAAAGGTGCAGAATTTATAAGACAAAATAAATATAAAATTTATAAAGGAATCACTCATAACTATTTATCACGCAAAATTATATGAAAAAGATAATCCGCTTTTCTCTAAAAAGCATTCTATGGACACTGTCTATATAATCAAGTTTCTACGATATAGTTAATAATCATTACGTTGTCGTGTCTACTTTCATAGGTATTTACGATAGAAAGAGTAGATCTATGGGTCTAAGAAAAATAAGGCGGTATGGTTTAAATGTCTAGCTTGTTCTGTTTATGGACGAATAAATAAAAAAAAAAACATGTTTTTTTTCAGTGGAATATCAACCACGCCAGCTACATATCAATAACTAATTACAAATAAGTGAGGCAAATATTTATTTATTTGTTTAACTCTTTATTGCAATATAAACGAAAATATATAATAAAAAGTAAATATTTCAAGTGAAATACAGTAACATAAATACAGATTAAAATACACACATAAAGGTTCAAAAGGTCTTATCGCTAGGGCAATCTCTTACAGACTACCTTTTCAGAGGAGAGGATAGGATAAAATTAATATGATGGATTCAACAAAAATTAATGACAATAGTTTTCAAGGGGAACTGCGTGGAGGTAGAACTGACAGTGAGAGTCACCCCGTGAGAGATGATAGATTAATGATGAAAGCAGCTTAGTTGTCAACAATGAACACGATGTTTTCTATGGGGAACCGCGTAGAAGTCGACCTAATAGGGTATGTTGCTGGCATTAAGGTTATTAGACCTTATCATTAACAATAAAAAAAAAAAATCGTATCTAATTCCTTTTATCAAAAAAAAAAAAACAAAGTTTATTATATTGTTACTCTAGCAAGCGAGTCGATACACAGAGCACCCAAAGCGTTTTACCCCTAATTACCGGTTCCCACTATCTACTCTGCGCTTACAGTGAAATGTAAATACACTTGAAAGGGTTCGTATGCCCTTCAAGAAGCTCCGAGTGGTGGAATAAAACAAAATGAGTTTCGCTATTGATCCGTACGTGCATTTATGTTTAGCCAACCTGAGAATACAAATGTGGGATGATATTGTACCTATTTGTAGGAATACAAGTGCGGTTTTAGACGTAAGTGCGTACTTTACATAGGTTCTCTGTACTTTTTCTCTAGTAGGCACTTTAGTGCGTATAACAGAATAATTTGTTTACTTCAAGGGTATTATTTTTGTTTCCATTGTGTAGGATAAATACAGTTTGTGTCTGTTGGAATCTTGGCTTCAAACGTTTCCGAGAAGTCTCAAAAACATTTTCAAAACAAATTTCAAAAGTAATTTTAAATATTCTTTTTTGTTATAAAAACTTTTGTTCTCAACTAATTTTGTTAAGATTGAAGCCAACTGTTACTGGCTGAAATAATGTAATAAAAAATCTAGGTATACCTAATTACATCGGTACACTTTGGGGGGAGAAGGGATTGTTAGTATTAGGGATTAGTAGCCCCATCGCCAGCAAATATATCCTGTCAGGTCGACCTCCTCGTGGTTCCCCCTAGAAATCATCGTGCTGAAATCCAGACATATTCATCACGGTGGGATAACTAACCTACTTCATCCTCACCTATCATCTCTCACTGGTGCTCCGCCAGTGTATACCAATAGCGCAGGCGGGGATACCATTCCATTATCATCCATTAAAAAAATTACATCGGTACTACCTTTGCATTAATATCAGTATTAATTCTAAAACGCAGTAGTGGGAATGTTGTTTTGCGTAAATGAGGTCCCAAGTTCGATTCCCGGTCTGTTAAATTCAGGACACAAACTTTTCTGAGTTAGGTCGGGTTTGAGTGTTCTGGGTAGTTTTTTTTTTCATTTAAGAGTTTCCTCTTGTTGATGCAACTAATTCATGCATCTTCTTCCAGCCAGCTCTATCCCAGGCCATATCCTTGACCTCCCTACATGACATGACACCTAGTGTTTCTTTTATCTGTCCCATGTAGTTATTCCTCGGTCTGGGTAGTGCCCAGTAGATATTCATTTCCAAGTTTCTCTAAATGTATAATGTAGGATAGTTGGAGATTTTTAGTGCTAGTCATACATATATTTATATAGGATAAGTACTTAATGAAAAAAGAAGAATAAAGAACAAATATACAGTTCCAAAATAGATATTTACTTAATATTATCTCTAGCATAAGAGATAACGTACGCAACAAGATCACCCATAGAGATAGGCACTTTAGATAAACCCAGTCGCCCGTGTCGAGCGAGTCCTAGCTATACAGATTTCGCGACAATGCCCTCCCTCTTTTTCGGGTGACAAAAACGTAAACACGGCCACGATCGTAAATTCTTTTGACATGGTAATCTGCTACTTGTGTGTAGGCGGCGTGTTTTCATATTCACACGCTAGATTATTGATAGTGCCTGCAATTTCAAAAGGAATTGTTTGCGCATCTATACCTGTTTCTTAGATATGTTTTCAAAACGAGCGTGTATTGTTCTGCAAAGAACACATATTTTAATAGTTACAAATAAAATAAATGATAAACGTCAAGATACTTTACCCACTGATAATTAGGCTGTATGGCTTAGTTCTTTTGTCTTACATTCACACAATTATAACAAGATATTTTGCAAACATATCAGTTTTAAAATGTTTGAATTTAGAATAGATACGGAATCGTGTATCTGCAAGCAGTATTTACTTGTAAACTTAGGAATAGGCAGTAGCCTCCCTCTTGAATCATCACCAAAGCCAAACTGCGGTTGCCAATGGTTTGCCAAGCGTGGAAACTACTGGTAAAGCTTCCTACAGAGGGAGGCCTATGTTCAGCAGTGGACAGTATAGACAGCTAACAGCTGATATGAGGATGTTCAGTTTCAATAAACAAACACTATGTGCTCATTTATCCGACGATCTAAATAACAGAACTGAAATGCAAACAATTCATCCGACAAGGTATCCCACAGTCTCATAAATAGCAATACGTACACGAGTTTATTACTTTAATAATGTTGACCCTACCTGTGTTACGTTGGGGAATTAAAACAGTGTCTGACATGTTCCGCGGACAAGGTCCGCTGTTCCGGGCATTAAGTAAATATTACTGTAATTGCGTTGTCTGAAAAATGCGAAGATAAATTTTTGGGACGGTACCGCTCCTGCTACGCATACGGAATGAGCCGCGTTGGGACTGGGGATTATTATTTGCGCAGCCAACGTCCTAATTAAGGTAACTTTTTTCTTTGTCCAGCTAGAGTTATGCGTTCATAATGGCGTTATGTGGTAATCATTATAATGAGTGTGTATGTAATTGAAGTGCGGACTCTTACTGCAGAAGTTGGGATAGAAATAAAATAGAATAATTCGAGATATTGGTTTACTGGAAGATCTTAATAAGATCTTGGAGGTACTAGATTAGACTGTTCTTCAAAGTATTTGTAAATAAGCAGAAATATAAAGACTATACAATGTCGTGGAATGTATAGATTGTTTACGTTGTTATGGCATGCACCTCCAACTTTTTACTTAGATGTGTAACCATATGCAAACATTGATGAACTGTTTGTATTTTTGAAGAAATTTCTTCAGTAACATACCGGATTTCTTGGTCGAAACCTTGTAAATATTTTTACTCACATATTTTTAATTCTTTGGATTTTGTAGGGCGTGCCATGTTATCGTCTATATTATAATCTATATTAATTTATATTTCTATCTATATTATATTAGGACAAATGATACAAAATAAGAAATACAGTTTGCTACAATTAATACAGAGGTAGATTCAGGGTTACAGACACAGGTTCAGACAGACGGCGGACCTGAAGGTTAAAATATCTAAGGCAGTTGTTCAGACGAGCATCAAGTCTGTCTTTAGGATGAAGTCAATAAAATCAAGATTGCCAATCTCCGATATGTGATGATACATACAGAAAAAGAATAATTGTGTGAGAGAGTGTGAATACTATGTATGATAAATAATGTGTATACGGAAGAGCATCCATTTATTTTCAGCAAAGTTAGAAAATATTACATGTTTAAATTGTAATTGTGAATTGATATTATTTTAAACTAGATTTTTATGAATGACACTGAATTGTTCTCTGAAAGAAACAGGATAGCCGAATGCCTCATATTA